CCCAAAATGGCTCCTGATTAAACACTCTCAAATATGGTGGGCGCTGCACTGGATTTCTTCTCCAACTTCAGCTGCCATGTGGAAAGAGTCACTTTCAGAATAAAATTCCATGCTGTATTTGCAGCTTCCAGTAACCATGGGCTTTGCTTGCTGGTCTGTTGTGGGGGCTGCTGACCTTCTCTGGACTTACCTTGCATCTGTGGATGGAGTCAGGGCCCCCCTAGCATTAGCTGTCCACACTGCTTCTTTCTTTTCTCTGTGTTGTCTTCAGTTCCTCTGTAGTTTCTGGTTTTCTTGGTGACTCTCTTGATTCCTGGAAATCTACTTTTTGTCTTCACTAAGCTGTTGTTTTCCAAGTGTCTTGATTCCAGGTCCCAAAGAAGCTATATTTTACTGCTGGTGTTTACACCACCATTTTTTTAACATAAGAGATATAAAATCATATTTATGTATTATAAAAATTTTTATAAAGTAACATAATAAACACCATACATAACATTTTATTTCTTTTTATAAAATCATGACTTTACGGTCATTAAAAGGAAAATTAAACTGGCACAGCTGTAGTCGCAGCTACTCAGGAGCCCAAGGCAGGAGGATTGCTTGATCCCAGGAGTTCTGGCTCAACTTAGGAAAGAGTACAACCTTGTCTCAGAAAAAATGCTAAATTCTGTAATACTTGGTAATATATAGTAGATCTTGACTTACAAACTCAATTCATTCCTGAGGGCTGGTTGTAACTCAAGTTGCTCAATTGAAGGTTAAGTAAATAGTGGAGCTAGAATTGAAACCCAGGCAATGTAATCTAGTGCTTCCCTCTTTTTTTTTTAATTGCAGAGAATGGAACCCAGGGCTTCTCACATTCTAAGCAAGTGCTGTACCACTGAGCCCTACACCCCAGCCCTGGAGCTTCACTCTTGCATCTACTGTGAAAGACATGAGAGGTACTTCCAGTGTGAGTATCCACAGTAGCCCACAGATTACATCTCCTGGACAATCCAAAGCCTGGCCCAAGTCCTGAGGACAAAGTAGTAAACTTGTTGTAAAGCGGTCTCTTTGAGGAAGATGGGTGCAGACACACACCAAAGCCTGGGAGCCCTGCCTCCAGAAGGTACCTAACAGATTACTTTGTTCAGCCTCATCTGTTCACAAGTGAAGAAACTGAATCAGAGTTTTATCTGGTTTTATTGCACTTCCTGACATACGATGGCCTGTACAGGTTTCTTAAAGTATCAGTGAAGCACCTTCTTCTTCTCTACCTCCACCACACAGTTACCAAATCATTGATCCTCAACCTCCAAACATCTGTCAGTCTCTTCCCCTAATGCCAGTCAGGTTGTTCATTACCTCACACTTGAGCCAATAGCTATTCTGGCCTCTCTGCCTCAGTCTCTCCTTCCGCACCCCTCCCAAGTTCTCATGCTCACGTACTTGTGTCTGCCTGTCTTCCTCAAAGCCTGGCTTTATCTTCAGCCCACACCAAGGGTACAAAGGCCTGGCTTTGAATTCCAGTTTACCATTCTATGACTGAACTGACACAGCCATTGTGATGAAACACAGAAACAGGCCCCGTGAGACTGGAGAGGGTTTCAGTGCTCAGCCTGTGGTACGGCGTGTGACAAAGAACCAAGCTGTACAACAGCAGCTGACATCAGCCACCTCACTAAGTCAAAACCAGGAGACTCGAGCTATCAGTGAAGCCAGCAATGCCATCTTTGTTCAGAGTGAGTCAGGGTGTGGTTAGGAGAGGCCCATGGAGTGGGTGGAACTGTGATGAGAAAGGGAACCCCATATCCACGCCTATTTCATTTCTCAATGAAAACCTCTCTCCTCTCTAGGAAGGGAAGCAGAAATGAAACTTTAGCCAGAGCCATGGCTTATTTATAGCTGGGGAAAAGATTGGATTTAGGAGAAAACTCTACGAATGTGAAACCTATCTCCCTTCCTCCAAATTCCAAGGCACAGAGAGCAAAAGGGCATAGCTCAGAGTGACTGAGACCCCCCACCCAGATGTACACCCACCCTAGAAAAGCAGGACCCCTGCCCCGGGTGCACCATCCTAAGTACCCATACTAGGTGCCTTTCCTACACAGGGAGAACTGAACTCGTCTCCGCAGGCAAGAAGCCAAGTTTACAGATGAGCCAGTGATGAAAGAGTATCAGTTGCTACACTCCAGGAATGGGCCAGGTTACTAAAGATTTAAACACTTTAGGGAAATGGGCAGAAATGAGGCTAATGAAATTCAGTCTTACAAAGAGTAAGGTCACACATTAAAGTAGAATCCACTACACACCTAAATGGAGCATTAATGAGTAGAATTGCAGAGAATAATGAGGAAAGAGCCCTGGGGCTGCCTAATAAGAACCTCAGGAGTCAGAGGAAACAGTGGTTTCTCTGCATGCAGTTATTCATTTAGGATCCTCCACAAAATCCTGGCCTTGTAGGTACCCAGAAATTGAGCACTGTATCAAAAAGGGAGCAAGAGAAAAAAGGAAGCATTGGTCTGAAGCTCAGAAATAGGTTATACTATTTTCCAGTGGAATTTCCACCTGCTTCCGGAGCTCAGTGCAGAAAGCAACATTCTTTGGCTCAGAGATCACACACAGTGGATACATAGCTCCCACAATTCCTTCGTGCTTTTTTTCCTCACTCTTTTGCTGACTTGTCACTTCTCAATGATGTATGTTTCTGCCTAAGGCTTCTAAATTGATTATGGAGAGAGAACAAGGGACTCTTGCTGAGAAAAAAGAAACAGAACCATTTTGAAGTGAACATTAACTTGGGCCCAGTCAGTTTCGTGTGAGATCAGGTTATTATAGAACCAACAGTTCAGGGTGGGCTCTGACTTCATGAAATCAGAAACAGCCTGAAACCACTGACTTCCATCAGCAGAGTCCAACAAAAGCCCAGATCGATGAATAGAGAGGCCATGAAGGACAGAGAGAGAGAGAGAGAGAGAGAGAGAGAGAGAGAGAGAGAGATCATTGAGGATGGCCCTGTAAGTGCTGTCAGTATAAAATACACATTGGATGTCTGAAGA